AGAGGGAAATGATCACTTCCCTCAGCTTGCTGGCAACACTCCTCCTAATGCAGCCCTAGTTATCTTTGGCCTTCTTTGCAGCAAGGGCACACGTTGCTAGCTCATGTTCAACTTGATGTCCATAGGACCTCCAGGTCCTTTTTTGTAAAGCTGCTTTCCAGCTGGGTTACCCCAGCATACATTGGTACATGGGACTGTTCCTCCCCGGGTGCAGGACTTTGCACTTCCTCTTGTTGAAATTCATGAGGTTCCTGTCAGCCCATTTCTGAAGTCTGTCGAGGTCTGTCTGATGGCAGCACAATCCTCTGGTGTACCAGCTGCTCCTCCCAGTTTTGCGTCATCTGCAACTGCTCCGTTTTATCCTTCATAAGATGATTTCAATGAGATTATAAAATACAGCCATAAAACATACAGATTTTGTATTGAAAGTGTACCCCCACAAGCACTTGTTTGCCAACTATGATCCACAGAACAACATTAAATACATTGCAGTTGCTTAGCAGATACTTTAGAGCACCTTTTAATATTTGCAACTCGTGCTCTGTGAGAAAAGTACTGAGTTAACAGTGTGACATCATTGGTTCAAAAAGGTGGAGAATTTCTGCTGTGGAAGTGCTGTCTTCCTCCTGGAGAAGCGCGGTAGTAAAGAAAAAAGGGAACAATGTTCTGCCTGTATTCTACATCCAAAAACACTGCAGTAAATCTCTGTCCAGGCATTCGAGATGCGATACCAGTGCCACTTTGGTGGTATTTGTAACAGAACAAGTCTCTCTCTCTTTCTGTCTGTCGTTCAGGCATTACTTATTAAGAGGTATTTGCAAAGGAATGCTGCTGGCCACTAATATCTTGATGGTCACTACTACCATTAGATTATTCTCACTGTAGCATTGAAATGCTATCCATTGAAATGTTCCTTACAGGAACATCAAGAACAGATTTACTTTGCCATGTTTGAAAAGGCTGACATTTCCACAGACCAGCACTGCTCATTTGCAAGATTGAGACTGATTTCAAAGGTCTGTACACATCTCAAAGCTCCCACAGGATAGCAGAAACAGTAAGCAGCCTAACCTTGACTAATAGGCTGACACTGCTTTACTGTAGGACACTCTCCAGCTAGTGGAAAGCATTGAAGGGAGATTGAAACATTACCAGAGAGACAAGCAACTTTTAGACTGCTCCATATCTGCTGAAGGAGTAGGGTAGGAACCTTTGTGAATCCACTAATATGCAAGAAAAGCAGATCTTTTCATCCAGCTTTTGTTACTTTCCAAAATACACTTATCTGTTAATTATTTCACGCTGTATCAACCTACCAAAACTCTTTTCACCCCACTTCTACCACAGATAACAGATGCAGGGACTAGATGATTCCAAACACTTTTGAAAGTGACACCTTATATTTTTATGGATCTGTAAATATATGAGGGATGTTGTCACTGTGATAGGCACAAATTATAAGAAAAACAAAGTTCCAGACAGAGGTGATGTCTTTTATTATATCATTTGATCCCTTTGTGAAGAGCAGATACCCAATTCCTTCATTAGATCTGCGAAAGAAGCAGTGAGGCTCATGCTAAATACAGGCTAGGAGCAAGAGCTCCGAGCACTTGGTTCTCCCAACGTTAACATCAGCGCTGTGCACTGCTGGAGTCACCCAGCAGTACCAATTTGATCTGACTCAGACGTGGGCACATGATTGCAGTTCTCTCCCGTTAGTCAGACACTATGGAGCTGTATTCTTTTATGCTGGTTCTGTGCCAGGAGAGGAGGCAGGGGCAGGATGCACTGAGCTGACTTAACAAAGATTTCTGAGGAAAGATAGACCAGAATCTCAGCCCATTGCAGCCGATAGCTACAGCATTTTGTAGTGGACTTCAGGAACCCTCAGCTCAGCTGCAAGCTATTGGCATATCAGTAACAACATTAACTTAATTTGTTACTAAGTTTTGAGAGATAGGTTGTTAGCACCTGCAGAGCAGTGCCAAAAGGAGAGAGGAGAGGTCACCAGCTTTATGGAAGAGCAGGATGACCAAGCATCTAAAAGCTACCAGAAACAGAGGGATCTGCCAAAAGTAGCTATAAGTAAAGCATTTCTATTTGTAACTCACATTCATGGCATTGATACTATGATTCCCATCCTCCTTTCATCCCTCTCTGACATCTGTACCTGGTGCTGAAGATATGATTGTCCAACTGCAACTGGAGATCTTAAAGTTGCAGTCCTCAGTAACCAGCAACCCTTTTAATGCAATGATCCAGCACTACCATATCACCTCTTCCAGCTGCACCGTTTTCCCCACGGTGGTATCAGGATTAAATCTCTGTCCTCTTGTTGCCAGCACAGGACCACGACAACACTTGGCTGAAGCCCTGAACTTTCAAAGATGGACACACAGTGTGTGTGCCTTTCAGGGTCCTGTCCACCCACAGGTTGCCTCATTTTGCCACAGTGAGACTGTTTGCTCCTGTCAACAACACTGATCTCAAGCGAAAGATGCGAACATATACTGGTGGAGAAGACTGGGACTGGCCTTTCTTTCTCATTTCCCCTCCTCCACAGCACTGCTAAGACATTTATTACTTTGGTGTCTATCTGCTGACATGTATAGCATAAATTTGAACTTAGGCAAATTTTACAGTTCAACAAATATCAAATATTTTTTAAAGTCACACTTGGTCAGATACAAAGTCTGAAAAACATCAGCCCAAAAGTTATTATAACTGAAATAAAATGAAACCATAATTCAGTCAGCTTCAGCATTACCCAAAGCAATGGAAAGTACTACTTCCAAAGCCTGAATCTGCTGCTCTTTTATGAGTTTCTCTCAGCTGAAGACTATAAATCCTTGATCAGATGATCTTTCCTGAACTGTAAAATATATTGAGTCAAGTTCAATTTGGTTAGGCAAGAGCAATACTTACTGAAATCAGAGCAACTTAGAGCAAAAGGGGATCCTACAAATCATCTGCCTTGGCATTGACAACTTGTCATACAAGGACTGATAAAATCTTCAATACAAATGGTTATTTGGAAGATTAAATCTGTACTCAGTGGACCTGAATCCTTCAAAAGCATGAAATGACTTGGAAAATTGAGGGGACACATTTTTCCATGGTACTTAGGTAGTCACTTGTCTATCTCATTATGCAGCTAAATTCCTTTGAAAAAGTAAACTTTAGTCAGACTTTCAAAGGAGACAGATTTCTAGAGGTGCACAGATGTCCAGGAGGTTTACAAAACGCCTAGTAGTTTAGTTCACAATAAAATCAATGAGAGTTAAGGGACTGACATAAAACCACGTCGATCTGCCTAATTAAAAAACACAGCCCCTAAGCTCATGTGTCTTGTTAAAATCAGTGAGGTTGGAGCTCTTGCAAACTCTCAAAGCTACACTTTGGCTTTCCATGGTATAGTCCCCAGGCAGATAGCAGCATCTGATCAATGAGGACAAGGACAGGAGAAGTGTCAAGCCTGAACCAGCTTGCAGACACAGCTGGGCTGTCAGAACACAGGTCTTGCAACAGCGGGGACAGACAGTCTGTAGAAAAGCTGACATTAAAACAGGCTAGTCCAGACCTTCACAAAGACACTTCAATCATATCTGTGCTGTTTAAAGCAACAGGTGGGTTTGCTTAGACCATTTGAGAAGGTATTTTTCTTTAAATAGCAACTTAGGATGAGACTTGCCACTTCCAATTTAATCACCCTTCTTTAATACAGCCTGGTGCTTTGCAGCTGGATAATTAACCTTGATATTCATTCAGACTTCAAAACGTATAACTCCCATTGCCGTCAATTAGCTGACAATGTCAAGTGTGTGTTGATGGAATATTTTTGTGTGACCCTGGCAGTATGGCATTTGGGAAATTTCAGTAGCTAATACAATCATCCTGCTGGAGAAAGTCCTTCACAAATCACTCTAACAATTTTAGAATGGGAAGTGAGATTGTGAATTTGTCGCTGGATTGAGTTCGATAAACAAAACAGATGTACACTAAAGTTTACCCTACTTACTGTTCTTGTTGCAGCACTAGTTTCTAAAAGATCCCTCCAGATAATTGGCAAACCTTCTTGTTACCATGGTCTTGTACAGCTCTGAGTGCAAGGTAGATGCCTTGATCTCAGCTAGAGCATTCAGAAGCCACCAAATTTTTTAATACGAATGTAAAGCTGGAGGCAGGGTTAGAAATGATTGTTACAAACCAAGTTTTTATATATGAGGCAGTGCAATAAACACTGCAATACGAAAATGGGACACAGTATGGGAAGGACCAGTGGCACTTTACTTTTCCCGCTGATTTCTTTGCATTTATAATAAAGAGTTACAGCCTACGGGTAACAAGATTGAATTAATGGGCAGTAAGAAGTTTGAATCAGGCTATTTCCCTGTTATTGCACAGTGGATCACATTCTGCTAATAAGTGTTAACCCTGCAATCAAGCAAACATTCATCTTGAGAAATGAACAACCTCATTCAGGGCTTTTAAAGCAGCCAGCACAGTCAACAACTAAAAAGAAATTGGCTCAAACACAGCTACTTTCCTTTTTTAATATTGCTCTTCATCCCTGATGAGCATGGGAGCTAATGGCCTAAGTGAAATGTTCTTAGACCTAAAACCAAGAGCATGCCAAGTCCCCTCCAGATTAGAAATCTTGCCTGGTGACGAAGAAGGGGTACCTGATGCTGAATCGAATGCTTTGCTAGAGCCTTTTGTGAAGGTTCTTAAAGTGAGTTCTATTTGACCACCTTATTTTCAGTGTGCTTTGCCTCATCTGCTGAGTAAAAATAGCAAAAAAAAAAAAAAAAAAAAAAAAAAAAAAAAAAACACTATTTACTTTTTTGT